GTCATTTAGGTCAATATGAACTAGAGTCAAAAACCACCGATGAGGGCTGTTCAGCATGGAACTGTTGGGTTCATGGCCAGGCTCATCGATAGCGAAATTAGGGGTGATGAAGTAGGGGAATCAGAAATCGGATGAATGGTGGCGAGAATCTCATTGTCATGTTGTTCCCCGAAACTGTAGACTCACTAGTGCCACTGCAGGATTGTAGTGTTTAGGAAGAACTCCTTGGAAGAGGGATATCGGTGCTAACAGACAAAATGGAACGCGAAATGCACAGCAAATTACAGACTCTGTGAGAAGCATAGAACGAGTCTACGAGATGGGTATATCCAAAACGGAGGGTTCGGCACACTAGAATGAGGAGGCTGAGGCTGGGTGAAGTGTTGGTTTGTAGTTGTAGGTAATGGCACGGCTGGGCGAAGACATCGTCAAAAGTATGAAGCGAGCTTTCGAGGGTACGCTATAAAACTGGGTATGAAGGCTACAATATTTTTTGAACTTACTAGAGCCTGTACAAAATAGACGAACGTGTCGCCCTGGAACTAAATTTTGTCTTGTATGTTCTGCACGACCTGACGGATTTAAAAACCTTTTCCTTCGGAAATCAAAATTAGCCGATCTGAGTAACAGACGCTCTGAACACATTCATCCCATTTGGATAATTCGTACTGCTCTCAGCTAACACCATCATATGCCCAATGTCCGAGTTTCCATATACACTCCTTGAGGCCGTTTTACTGGCGGCAGAGTTTTCCGTTGCAAACAACGACAAATATCAAGCTTTCTGTACCTGGCTGTAGGGAGTCGCCATATAGCTCCCGCTCCTACCATTGGGCTCAAGCTCAAGTGGGGACGCTGTTGTTGCAACCACACAGCAATAAATCTTAGTTGACAAACACTGCGGACATCCGGCTAGGTGTCACGATGACTGATTGACCAGCTGGAGCTGAACTACGTCCATTCTGATGAGCATATGACCGAAGCCTGCTGATGCACTTGACCAACAATCTGCTAGGTGGACATGATGATTACCCAACTGGCTAACAAAGGCTCATTCATATAGACTGGGAAAAGTCAGTGGTCCAACTTGGACGAAATAAAAAATTGAATTTTATTATGCGTTTTGATTGTCGTCTGTCACGGCATGAAACATATGACCATCTTGTTGAGCAGTCCTCATCAAGCTTTCGAAATCCTGAAATGGGAAGAAGATAGCTGTTAGCTTACCAAATGCTACTCTGAGGCAGTCAGCCGATTAACTTAACCGCCCAAGGTCACCCATGGCCGGGAATGGTTTTCAGCCTTAGTTCATGCCAGATGGTCATGTCTTCGAACTAGTCGGACCTTATGCTCATTGTTCCTAACAAGTTGGGAAAGAAAACTGTTATTGCTATTTCATCGAATACTCCCCACTGTTTATGACATTGTCCTCTTTTCGTGCAATCCGCACCACCCACAAACCCCCGGTCATGTATTTTTCTTACTGTAGACAGTTGATCATGTCAAGCGGTATGCCACCCACAAGTTGGGAATAAACATTGTTATTATTATTCAGAAGGAGGACAGTCGCATGAATTTCTGGAATTATCCGACACCGATGGATTCATTCCTAAACTGGCACAATTTATACTCGGTGGGCACCTATAACAACAACGGTCACAGTACCCGATAATGGCCCGGTTCTGAAACAGAATTGATGCAGCAGCAGACTGAAACATGATGTTTGCTGTTCACATTTCTTTTGGGCGAATTCAGCGCCTTAGCCATCAACTGAAGATAACGTATGTCCATTTTCTGAATCTGAGGGTGTAGTGACTAGACAATATTCCATTGGCTGGTTTCCACACAGCTAATTCGCAAGTAGGTTCAGAGTAGGTCGTTCGTCTAAACGACCTAATTTTTCCGCAAGGATGGAATACGAATAAAGTTTTATTTCACACAGGGAAATTTTACACCAACCTCAACTTAGTAGCACGCGTTATTGCTCCGCTGCATTAACCACATTTATTCTGAATTGTAAACCACGACGCGGATTAAGAAGTGCCCGCTACTTTTGAGATATTCGCTGGAGAGATTTACCACGAATGAGAGTGCAGCCTCACTCGGTCTATTCATGGGTACGTTTTGTGTGAATTCGTCGCGTACACTCCTTATCACAAGGCCTGTATATTCCCGTACAACCCTTTATGTCCACTCAAAGTATGTTGCGGTACTGGGCCTAATATTCCAAATAGTTTTAAAAACATACTAAATATCTACCCGGTTTCAAAGAGATGCTTATTCGAGAAATACTGTAGACGCTGTGGCAAAACATTTCGCGGAAATAGTGCGAATATTCTCAGCGAGCTTTCCGGTGCTTAACATCACCTTAACTGCTCCCGATTACATAACTTACGCTTTTTTATTTAATGATCTGGCGGATTGATCGAATGGCGGCTTAATCGCGATTTAGTGCTCTACTAACTGCTTCCCATGCTATAAGGTAGGCAATGCATATCTTAGATTGGCTGGCCGGAAAGCTGCCTCTCAGTGTGTTTCAAATTGCTTCCGACTGCCCCGTGCAAAACTTTGTTTTTGACTGTAATGTCTTGCAGGAATTAAATTATAAAATATGTTGCTTTCCGTTATCAACGTTTTCCATTCAATATCTTTACAAATCTTTTTCGAATTTTCACAACTATTGGTTTAAACTTGTCATATTTTATCATCTTCTACGTAAAAGCTGCTTATTACAGCGTCTTACCATATTAATATTAGCTTTTATTTCCAAGTGATTGGTGGTCATAAAAAGTGGTCCTTATCGGATGAAGATGTGATTACGCCCAATCCGGACGGGTAGGAAAGCGCAGTAACCACTGATTTTTGTGAAAATGTCGAGCTTAATTGAGATCTGACTGTAGGATTTTGCAAGTGGCGGACAAAATTCGAGGTAGGGAAAACTGGGGATAACCTGTCTGACACATGACAAGTAAATTGCGGAAAATGGGGAACCAGAACAACGGCTCGGGTAAAACTGCCGATTCGACGTAATTCAAACGGTCATTTCGAACCAAAACCAAAATCCAACGCTAAGGTCACGTGGTCTTGGGCCGTTTGGCTGATGATGGAAAAATGTAAGCGGGATGATGAAGTGGTGATTAGCAATGCGGATACATGGTGGCGGGAATCTGACAGTCATGATTTACGGAAACCCCACATAGTTTTGTTGGTGGTGCTCTTCTAGTGGAGTCAGGCGTAAAAGTTCCCTGGAAAAGTGAGTTGGTGGCAGCACACCGGTCGGAAAGCCAACTGTACAGAAAATAGTCGACTCCTTGGTGGCACAGAATGAAACCCCACCGAAATCGTTAAATCCAAACGAAATACCCAGCAGATTATATTAAATGCGTGCTGGAGGTCGTTAGGGCTAGGTGATGAATTTGTTCGTATTTGCATTAATGGAACGGGTGAGAAGATACAGTCAATCGTAGGAAGTGAATAGTTGCGTATGTGCTATCCAACTGGGTTGATGGTGCGGTATCATCATTCCGGGTTTTGAACAGCCCCGTAACGGACGTCATGTTTGGCGTCATTAGTCCAGAATGCGCAATACTCTGGGCGGCGGTTGGCTAAAGAAATCCGCCGAAGTAGAAGGAAGCCTGTGGAAGATAGCAGGCATTTTTCTCGCCCAACTGGAGATTCCTGTGGATGCAGATTACGGGCCAGGGGGATTGGGTAACAGCAAAAACGGCTTTAAAACCAGTCATTGCTGAAGGTCGAAGCATGAGAGGATATACACGGGAGAGAACCGAAGTGCATCTCAATAATTAATTTGGTCGTTTTAATTATTCGTCTGACGTATTCCCAAATTAATTTGTTTCATCCGAAAGACTCGTGCTTTCATTTTTCACACAAAATTTTGCTGTTTTTTGCCTTTTATTCTGACGTTTTCTGACGATTGACAATTGGCTTCGGTATGCAGTGCAAACCAGAACCCAGTACAAATCTTGGAGAAGGTTGGTTACCTATTTTCAAAGCTGGTCTGCGTTAATTATATCTGTTGGAATGATTGATTAGTGTTTTTGTGACGTAGTGTTTGGCATAATACTTGCATGGGATTGTATCGGAAAAACTACTAGAGTAGTGAGATGTGGTTGGAAGTTAGGGATTAGGCGGTTTAACAATTACCCCGCACGTCCTTTACCAAAGCTGCCTAACAAAGAAAGGTCCGTAGCTCAAGATTACTTAAACCCCTCAGAACGTTAAACACGGCTCCGGGCAACGTGTCCTATCCCATTCCTCCTGCATCCACTAAAATACCTCTGAGTTTCAATCGAAAATCCACTGTTTACCTTTGCTCGCTGCAGAATCTCTAGCCTTAATTTAATGTTTTGTCTAAAAGGCAACATAATTCCTTTACAAGGTCGCTAAAATTTCACGACCATCATTCCTCATTCTGTCTCAACTTCAATATGAGCTGGTCATGAGGGGCCTTGTGGTAATAAACCACATGATAAAACGCAGCAAACAACACACTTCTTCAATACTGCAAAGTTTCCTGACGCGGGCGACCATCAGAGCTTTTACGTGAGGGCCAAACAGTCGACCGCGTCACAACGATTTCGTTTTGTTGTAGGTGAGTACACGCTAAATAATAGAAACCGTCCCTTTCAGTTGGGCTCTCCTACATATGGAAGGTCGGATTCCAGTGCACCCATCAGTGGCGTGGTCAAATGATCTTTGATGCATTATTAATTTGGCTTTGAAATCGCGAAAATGTCAATTTGAAATATAGATGTTGCTAAAGTTCATTTCTCCATTGGAGCGGTCCCATCTGCCGCCTCACGTTGAGCATTACATCAGAAAACATACTAACTAATCGTAGTCTAATCGTTTGCGAGCCTGGCAAGCCTGCGTGATCTGTTGAACTAATTATCCGATAGGTTTGTTTTAACGTAGTGGTACTATAAACATATGAACCCAAACATAAATGCTCTATTTCAAACTAGACAATAGCAGTAGTTCTGAATTCCGATTTCATAAATCCCTCCCTCGATAGCTACCTAAAGGCATGTCTTCGTGGTTCACGTTGATTTCTCCCTGGATTTATCAGATAATAAACTATAGAAAGCGAAGTTAAACTTTACTGTGATTGATTGTGCGATAATTAACGCAACTACAAAATGTCCATTGAAAACAACTCCATCAAAAAGAATTTGGACACGGCCTCTCAGTATTCAAAATCACTCGACGATCCGAAAATTATTAGGCAAGGTTTGAATGGGTTCGAAGAATGTCAAATTCCAGAAGTAAATGATAATCTTCGAAATGGAAATGATTTCCACGCCGTAGACGGTTGGAAGCTAACGGAATTACGGAAATCCAATCCAAACATATATAGAAATATACGCCTTTTGGAAATTCCTGGTGAGTTTCTCTGTATGTCATTGTTTTCTCTTATAAGGTGGGATGGGATATATACGCGTATGATGAAGATTCGTCCATATGTATGCAAGAATGAGAGTTTGTCTTGTTTAACGCTTTCAGAACGTGAAAAGAGACGCCAAAAAATTCAAACATCTTCGTTATTTAATCCTTTTTTTTGGAACGCCTGATTACTCACGTATCTCCTTGTGGTTGTTAGCGCATTTTTCTTCATTCCGTGAATCCGCGAGAGGTTTTGCTGTGTCATATTGCAGTGCAGGCATTAGGTCTTCTGGCAATTTTGTACACATTAAACAGGCTGCACTCAGATCATCTTTAAGAAGGTAAACATGCCCGCATAATGCCACCACAGATACCGGCTCCCATACATTCCTGCGGCTATTCGTTTACTCCAGATTCAATGGCATCCTCATCGCTAAAGCATGACAAGTCGTGATGGAGTTTGTGAGTCCTGAAAAGACTGCACAACTTCTCCAAAAGCTTTTCGTCCTTAAATGTTTTTCACAAGATTAAAGGAGTTTTTCGGCGGTTGTATTTTCGGTATTTGTACTAAAGTAGGCAATACCACACCACATGGAATTAATCCACCTCAGTAACCAGGGAAAGAATAAACACTTCGATTGGTAATATCTGCGGTTACCCAAACATTCTATGGCATTCCCGGAAATATCCAACACCAAGGCGACCACATTTCTAAAACGCATCTTAGCAAACATGCGAAAGGACGTGTTAGAATAGGATTCAGCCAGCTAAACCAACGAAGCTTTCTTTAGTAAGCACACTTATTATAAGAATGCTGCACAACAGTAGTTTAGATTATACGGGGCGATGCGTCCACCACTGAAATTCAATACGCGTTGTTTAGCGTACGGTTTTGAATCGGGTCCAGTAAAATGTATATGGATTTTGTAGAGAAGATCATGGTAAACGTTAAGTTTTCTTCTTGAGTATTTGGTTTGTGGCTTTTTGAGTTAGGTGGCATCTAGAGCAAGACATTCAGCTACTCGGAAAGCAATTGTTTGTGTGTACGGAGTCTATATAACAATACTTCTAACTGGACGAATCCTGCTGATGCTCCAGAGTATCTTCTTTATTAAGTGGATTAGCTCACGGAATTAGGTATTATGGATATATTGCATTCAGACAACCCCTACTGTTCCAATGAGTCACAGGTTGCTTGAATGGTTCAACTTACTAGTTGAGGGTCTACTTTGGTACCGGGAACCTCACCCATAAAAGTGATATTGTTGCCTTGCTATAGCATGCTTTTTATGTTTGAGGTGGAAAAAATTGGTTGACTGAGTTTGTACCTTTATGATATAAGCATTGACTTTGTCTATTGATGCACAGACTGTGGTTTTTGGGCCATCATATTCAAAAAAGCAAAAAGCATAAAACTGTAAGTAAAACAATTAAAAAAACTCTGCTGCTCATTTGTAGCTAACAAAATATATCTTCTCAGTCCTCGTGTCACTGAAAATATAAGATAAAAATCTAATAGTATATTAACGTAATTCAAAGCCAAACCCCTTCAACTGAGCATACTCGGATGGGCCATTTTACGCACTGAGCTGAAGGCTTCTTTAACGCCTTGGAAAACAGCAATTTTTTGCGCGTTACCCAGTAATGTTGCCCATTTCCTGGGAGTAGTATAAAACTGTAAACAATTAAAAAAACTCTGCTGCTCATTTGTAGCTAACAAAATATATCTTCTCAGTCCTCGTGTCACTGAAAATATAAGATAAAAATCTAATAGTATATTAACGTAATTCAAAGCCAAACCCCTTCAACTGAGCATACTCGGATGGGCCATTTTACGCACTGAGCTGAAGGCTTCTTTAACGCCTTGGAAAACAGCAATTTTTTGCGCGTTACCCAGTAATGTTGCCCATTTCCTGGGAGTAGTTTTAAGTTTCAGGGCACTACCTATATGCTGTAAGTTTACTACAGTTCCCTCCAAATTGCGCCTCTAATATTGCAGTTATCCGCCATGATATTACTGACGCTTACATTATAGGTGCAGTAAAGCTCGATTGGAGATACCATTCACAAGTGAGGTTGAAATGGCGGACAAGCACTGGGTTTTGGGAGGAGGTCCTTTAAAAAATCATTTAAATAATCTAGATGTGGAATTCAAACAGTAGCCAAATCACCTAAGTTGCCCTGCTCAAAGTCTACCCGACTGCGCTGTACCTTTGGCTTTAAAAGATATCACGACCGCGAGTTACACTGCATCCCATATCCTATAGCATCGTGCCCACTGTAAATAAGAATGGTGATAATTTAAAAGCGTTCCACACTCCAGTCTATACCCTTGTTACTACCGTGTGACCTTTTTGTTTAAAATTTGTCTAAAGTCTGTCTAAAGTCTAAATCTGTATCTTAAGACTCGTTCCTGCATTGAGTGATTAAGCTTGTATTACTTTACACAGCACTAGATTTTTCGGCTACTTCTGCCCTCTATCTCTATAGTTGGCTTTAAACGTGCCTGTTACTAACAATGCCGTTTTGTTGTTTTTGTTGTTCTTTCTGGGTGCTTTAATAACCTATGTGTAGAATCACAAATACTTGCCAATTCGTGCACAGGTCTTACCATATTTTAGCAAACTCAGACCATGTGAATAGAGCGTCGAAAACCTCATAGTTAAAAAAGGGTGAAATCGTGGGTCTGAAAAAGATCCTATAAAATGTACAGGCAAAAGTGTTGAGTTACAGAAGTGCATTCTATCTTTGAGAACAGGGTTCCATGTTCTAGCTCTCAAGCCTTTGAGTGAATAGTAAAGGATCGTATCACACTTTTGTTGGGTTTTGATATGCCAGAAAGGTATCGTAGATAAACAAAACTAAAACGACCCACTTTAGTAGCGAATTCAACGTCAGAAACGTCACTGAAAGCGACAAGTGGCTAGTAAAATCTTATGGGTGTATATTGTCAGGGATAGTCATAGTGATTTTCCACTATGCCTAGCACTGTACAAATGGGCATAAACCAAACAAAATGTATATTCGTAGTTGCAAATGCAAAAACAGTGGAATGGATTTCACAGGCCGATGTGTCATGGAACTATTCGGGGCATGCTGCGACTTAATTATTTGAAACAAAATAGTTGTTGTTGGTAGTGTGAGGAGATTTGGGATTTTTGTGGGATTTCGTCCTGTAAGTGAAGCCAATCTATGCTGAAAAGCCGAAAATCTTCTCGGCTTTTCAGCATAGATTGGCACAAAAATAGTTGTTCAGAAGCTCAAAGTTCACCCACGTTTTTCTAATCACATATATTTAAGCTACATTGTCAGACCTTCATAGCTTCCAAATCCTATGGATTATGGTGCATTTTAAAGTGTCCGGTCTCTTATTCCGAAGGCATATTAATAATATGTTATTTAAGCGGCTTGCAATGTCATTGCAGCTGGGTAAGAGTCACAAAATCCCAGTATTCACGGCAAACTGACCATTCTTAAGACCACACTATGATGTTTGATTTAAATATATGAGAGTTCACGCAGAACCTGGTGTTAGAATTCGGTTCAGCTAGGATTGTGATAATCTAAAATTCTCACGAGTGATGCCATCAGTCACACCAAACATGGCGCCTTCTCAATTGATGGCATAGATTGTGGGAATTGCGATACAAACGGCCTCCATGTTGACGTAGCTTTGCACAGACGAATTTTTCCACACGCCCAGCAACTTTATCCTTTGAAATAGGAAATGCTCCAGTTCCTGACCATTTGGATTAACCCAATTTTATGTAACTGGCGCCATTTATGCTCATCAAGGGAGCAAGCATTTCTGTCGAAAAAATCGTTATTTTGTAGTGTTACGCCATGCTTGAATTCTACGGGTCAAACATGAGGAAAATATGCATATCTAATAACGGATTAGACTGGGCCATTAGCGACCGTGCAATCTATTGATGCGAAATTACAATTTGGTCAGCTCTGTTGAATCAACACAGTGGTTTTACCAATTGAATAATATTATTTTTGTGGGCTTCCAACTGAATGCCATAAAAAATTCTGAGTAAAACTTCTTAGGTTACGTATCTCATACAGGGTTTGGTGACCACTGTATATAACAAAAAGTGAGCGAATGCACGCGGTTAACTTTTATGTCATTTATGTGAAAAAAATTTCTTTTGGGCAGGGTTTTGCATGTACTACGAAATTTGCTATTATTACTTTTTCACCACTGGTGGTAATTTTCAAAATATTTCCGCCGAAATTTATCGGTCTTAAAGGTAACAATCCTAGTCTGCACGCCATTTTAATCCCCAAAATGACTGGGAGTTTGTAAAGAAAAAAAATGATACAAATAGCACCGGCCTAAGCTCTAGTGTGAACGCACACATCACAAAAGGATGACGTATACGGAATAAAATTACTTTACACCTCTTCAAAATCTCATTGCTGATCGCTGTAAATTTGTAAGCATTTGAGCCGAGCAAGAGTCAAAATCAGGCCTTGCTTTGGAAAAAAGTCAAGCATGGATTGTGAGGGCTAATTCAACTATAGTTCAGCATCAAAGCTTCACAGATTATGTATTCTAGCCCAATTGTAAAATAGCGGCGGTTGAGGGTGCCGGCAAGTTTTGGCACACCTGACAATGATTGAAGTTTGACCACATGGTCAGGGTCAACTGTCAAGTTATAATATCGGGTAACCACATCTTTTCGAGCACATTGGACCCGGAATTTTGCAGTTTATTTTGTCACGTGTTTTTTGTTTGCAATATCAATTACAGTTTTATTTCTCTGATAAAACTTCTACCACATAAGTAGGAAAAAAATGTAGTTTACGCTGGTACTGTTGGCTTGTACCACTGTTTCCGTTAGAGGATAGCAACTTGTATCTCAAATGTTTATCTTTAAACTCCTTTAGTCATTATCAACAAACACATTTGCCGACAAATGCTTTCATGCTATTAAAACAATCCTATTTTGAATGTAGACGCTTTGTAGGCACTGTACACCATTTCTGATACT